CGCTAAGATGATCATAAACCCCATACTTTAACACAGACTGTCGTAGCGCTAAGATGATCATAACTCCCATACTTTAACACAGACTGTCGTAGCGCTAAGATGATCATAAATCCCATACTTTAACACAGACTGTCGTAGCGCTAAGATGATCATAACCCCATACTTTAACACAGACTGTCGTAGCGCTAAGATGATCATAAAACCCCATACTTTTAACACAGACTGTCGTAGCGCTAAGATGATCATAACTCCCATACTTTAACACAGACTGTCGTAGCGCTAAGATGATCATAACTCCCATACTTTAACACAGACTGTCGTAGCGCTAAGATGATCATAACCCCATACTTTAACACAGACTGTCGTAGCGCTAAGATGATCATAACCCCCATACTTTAACACAGACTGTCGTAGCGCTAAGATGATCATAACTCCCATACTTTAACACAGACTGTCGTAGCGCTAAGATGATCATAACTCCCATACTTTAACACAGACTGTCGTAGCGCTAAGATGATCATAACTCCCATACTTTAACACAGACTGTCGTAGCGCTAAGATGATCATAACTCCCCATACTTTAACACAGACTGTCGTAGCGCTAAGATGATCATAAACCCCATACTGTAACACAGACTGTCGTAGCGCTAAGATGATCATAACTCCCATACTTTAACACAGACTGTCGTAGCGCTAAGATGATCCTAACTCCCATACTGTAACACAGACTGTCGTAGCGCTAAGATGATCATAAATCCCATACTGTAACACAGACTGTCGTAGCGCTAAGATGATCATAACTCCCATGCTGTAACACAGACTGTCGTAGCGCTAAGATGATCATAACTCCCATACTTTAACACAGACTGTCGTAGCGCTAAGATGATCATAACTCCCCATACTTTAACACAGACTGTCGTAGCGCTAAGATGATCATAACTCCCATACTTTAACACAGACTGTCGTAGCGCTAAGATGATCATAACTCCCATACTTTAACACAGACTGTCGTAGCGCTAAGATGATCATAACTCCCATACTTTAACACAGACTGTCGTAGCGCTAAGATGATCATAACTCCCATACTTTAACACAGACTGTCGTAGCGCTAAGATGATCATAACTCCCATACTTTAACACAGACTGTCGTAGCGCTAAGATGATCATAACTCCCATACTTTAACACAGACTGTCGTAGCGCTAAGATGATCATAACTCCCATACTTTAACACAGACTGTCGTAGCGCTAAGATGATCATAACTCCCATACTTTAACACAGACTGTCGTAGCGCTAAGATGATCATAACTCCCATACTTTAACACAGACTGTCGTAGCGCTAAGATGATCATAACTCCCATACTTTAACACAGACTGTCGTAGCGCTAAGATGATCATAACTCCCCCATACTTTAACACAGACTGTCGTAGCGCTAAGATGATCATAACTCCCATACTTTTAACACAGACTGTCGTAGCGCTAAGATGATCATAACTCCCATACTTTAACACAGACTGTCGTAGCGCTAAGATGATCATAACTCCCATACTTTAACACAGACTGTCGTAGCGCTAAGATGATCATAACTCCCATACTTTAACACAGACTGTCGTAGCGCTAAGATGATCATAACTCCCATACTTTAACACAGACTGTCGTAGCGCGCTAAGATGATCATAACTCCCATACTTTAACACAGACTGTCGTAGCGCTAAGATGATCATAACTCCCATACTTTAACACAGACTGTCGTAGCGCTAAGATGATCATAACTCCCATACTTTAACACAGACTGTCGTAGCGTTATGATCGCTTTGAGGACTGGGGCCGTGGACTGCAATGGAGATCATACAAGGTACTGAGAACACATAACCTTTCCTTGTTTCATGTATGCCATGGTAAATGAATGGCAATGACTTGTGCCAAATTTGAACAATTTATTATGTTAGTCAGGTGATTATTTATTTGTTTTTTTAAATGTAAACCACTTTTGAGGTTTTTTTTATGTTTTGTTGTTGTTGCTGTAAATGTATGATCACTTCCATCAGATTGGTATGACAACACTAAGTGATATGTGATAGATTGTTATGACAACACTAAGTGATATGTGATAGATTGTTATGACAACACTAAGTGATATGTGATAGATTGTTATGACAACACTAAGTGATATGTGATAGATTGTTATGACAACCCTAAGTGATATGTGATAGATTGTTATGACAACCCTAAGCGATATGTGATAGATTGTTATGACAACACTAAGTGATATGTGATAGATTGTTATGACAACCCTAAGCGATATGTGATAGATTGTTATGACAACACTAAGTGATATGTGATAGATTGTTATGACAACACTAAGTGATATGTGATAGATTGTTATGACAACACTAAGCGATATGTGATAGATTGTTATGATTTACTCAGCAAGGACATGCAAGTGTATCCATTAATGTCTTCTGAGAAACAGACAACATACATTGTATCTGACAGGATGCTTTTAAGCTTGTAACAGTAGAAGCAGTGTAGGTACTAGTATTTTTTGCATGCGTACGTTTTTCTAAATTGGTATAAAACGTCGGAAACCTCCATCGCTCTCACTTTCTCAGCACCTTGACGTGCCCGTAAACTGTTCAATTAGCTTAAACAAACTCACTCACTCTAATGGGCTTTCACCCACGGGTGTGTCAGAAAGAAAAATACAACGAAACTGTCAAAGGCAATCAACGATGCTACTCCACCCCATCAAGAATAATGGCTTATGATTGAAGTTCTTGAGTTACGTGCGCTTAGTAAGTATCAGCTTATGTATGCATGTTACATAGTTTGGTAGACTTGTTTTTTTATGCCTCTTTACATGATACATTAGTTATATATACTGTAAGCCATTAAAAACGCAATTGGTATTTGTTGTCCTGAAACTTACAAAAGTTCTATTGAAGATTTTCTCCTGCGATACAGAGGATGTAGGGATAAAAGGCTGTTATTCTGGCCCATTTCGAGTTCGAGTCCCGGAGCATTCCTCTCACATGAACTTTGATACTTAAAACTGAACCTTTGACATTTCTCGTAAACACAACCACATTCATGAAACATGTTGTGCACATGCATTACCTGCACCCAGGCCCTGTAAAAGCACAAGGAATTGTGGAACTCAATCACTTTGAGAAAATGCCACACTTGACACAAGACGAAAGGAATCAGGTTATCGGTATGGTCAGCCAAGGTCCTTCAGATGTGATGATTGCCAGGCACTTTAATGTGCATCCATCCACTGTAAGTCGACTCAGACAACGTTTTCGGGCTACCGGAAGTGTTGCTAATCGTCCACGACCTGGTGCACCACCTATGATAACAGCTCGACAAAACCGCAATATCCGAGTTTCAAACTTGCGAAATCGGTTCCAAACAGCTGATGATTAGGCAAGGAGGACAATTGGGACAAGTCAACGTCATTTCAGCGCCCAAAAGGTGCAAGGACGCCTTGCTGCCTTCAACATCCGGTGTCGTCACCCGTACCGCGGACCAACCTTATTGCATCGCCACAGACTTGCCAGACAGCGATGGGCAGCAAATGGGGCCAATCTTGGCAACAGGACATGGCCAGATGTCATTTTTTCAGATGAATCCAGGTTTAACTTATCCTTTTCAGATGGACGTCCACAGATTTATCGACGTAAAGGAGAAAGACTTGCGCCAAACTGTGTCCTTGAACATGATCGTTTTGGAGGGGGTGGTGTCATGATCAGACCACAGACCATCAGAGGCTGCAGACCATCCAACAGCTGTTCCTGAGAAATGTGTGTCTTTCAATGCCCCAAAGACTGCGAGCATGTCTTGCAGCGCATGGTGGACACACACGATATTGACTGCAAGTGACCCCTCCTTTGTGTGATGTCGTTGTTGCGTCACTGATGTTGTTGACTGGACATTTTCAGATGAAATTATTCACAGATGTTCACTTAAAACATATCTGCCAGTTAGGTTGATATATGTTGAAATTAGTGTGAGTAAAGAAAGTATGAATGTCAAATTGCATTTTTAATGGCTTTCAGTATATTACGGCGTGTCTGCTTAATGTTGTGCGACTTGTAGTAGGAATTAGGACAAGTCCTACGTCTTTCAACTCAGCGGCGTCTTGATGTATGCAGCTGTGTTGCATGCTACGAGTTGTTACTACAAGTCGCGCCGTGAGAACGCACCTTTAACGTTGGAAGAAAGACCGAAGCGATACAGGTCTAACCCTTGTGAAACCGCCTGATGTGGGGCTGACAAACCTTGAAACATAGTCTGGAGGATTCGAACCCACAGTCAAAAGCTTCTGGTGAGCACAGTAATGTGCCACAAGTCTTCTCGGAAGCCAGTAAGAGTAGTGTCAAGTATATAATATTTTGTTGTGTTTCCTGTTGTTGCTAACATGATGTTATCCATTCATACCAGACAATGAGGCCAGATTACGACTAACCCTAACAGACCATACATTCTGGTTCACCTAGATCATTAAGAAACTTGAAATCAACAGTTATCTCCTGTGGTTCAAGTGACCAGTCTTCCCCACACACCACATTCAAAAGCCAAACGAGAGCAATGTAAACACACACACACACACACACACACACACACACACACACACACACACACACACACACACACACACACACACACACACACACACACACACACACACACACACACACACACACACACACACACACACACACATCCTATATGATTGCTAGCACGTTTTGTTGATGCATGAATTGTGTTACATGTAATATAAATTACATCAATTTTTCCGTCCTAACACTTTCCACAGACACCAGCACCGCAAAAGTTCCATGCAGCAAATGATGTCCCCAAGCGGCACAAGATGTATCAAGAATTGGAAAACGAGCTTTCAATCATCTCAAGCTTTAGGATGTGTGAAGTGAGTATCGTTATTGGGCTCTATGTAACAAATGATATTGTCAATACTATCACAAACAATAACAATGTAATATATATAAACGCTTTATTTCAGAAGCAATATCTGAACCAAAGGTATCTTGGTTTCTTTAAACCTCAATGCAATTGGTTGTGAATTTGGAAACTAATCGAAACAGCTTATAAAAGTACTCAGATTTGTTGGTTATGTGCTCGATGTAATTTCATGAACCAACAATCATTCATCTATAGCCAATCACTTTCATTTTTGTTATCTTATCAGTCACAGGATCATAAAGGATGCCGTGAGGTCTCAACGACAACAGCTTACAAGTGAGTCATCAGTGGGTCAGTCCTGGACACGTGCTTGGCTACTGCTGAGCTAGTATTGCTGAGCTGGTATTGTTGAGCTGGTATTGTTGAGCTGGTATTGCTGAGCTGGTATTGCTGAACTGGTATTGCTGAGCTAGTATTGCTGAGCTAGTATTGCTGAGCTAGTATTGCTGAGCTGGTATTGCTAAGCTAGTATTGCTGAGCTAGTATTGCCGAGCGAGGAGAAATGACACTAGACAAATAGTGAGAAAAAATGAAGTTCACCCTATGTTGGCTTGCTGCCTGGGTACTGCTAAAGTTAGCATATTGACCACAACTACTTGCATTCAGTTACGTTGCATTTGTCCCAGCGTTGGGCAATATCTGTTGTGTAACACCACGGTATGTCAACTGTGTCAGTAAGAACAATGCGGCAGTAGTTGGCAACTTCTTCCATAGATTCTCCAGTTGCGAAATGGCCAGGGACATTGCCATTGACATCATGCTTGTGGGGTGTGTTTGAAATCCACTTCTGACATTCTCTGCCTGAAAGGGTGACATTCAACGTGCCATTGTAGAAGCGTCTTCTCTTGATAACAGTCCCGCCTGGAAGCAGCTGTTCTGTGGCCCGTATGAAACAATCTTGCCCTGAGTAAAAGTGAGACATAGTGATGCATAATATATACATACTCTCTTGACGTTCTGGATTAACTAACATGCTGCCCTAGCCATGGTTTGACGTACTTCTGTGCATGCCTTTGATGACATCTATAACCACTGCGAATGTGACCCGTATTCTGTGAAGGAAACTTTTCATTCCATATTGACTCTATAAGAATTCCTTATCGCCAAACTACATTCATTATCTTTTGACCATCTGGCTTGGGATACTGATGGGGTATTATCCGTTTGCCTGCCCTGTAATTGGCTATATGCAGATTAGGACTAATAGCCCAGTTCTTGTACAATTGTAGTCTGTTCGAGTAAGTGGAGTTCACTCACCACCACGTTCACTCCTTGACCACACTGAACACAGTGCATAATGATTAGTGAACTCAGTCATTGTAAGTAATCAAAGTTGACATGAGGCATGGGGGTTATAAAGCAACAATTTAGTTTACAAGTCATGCTACAATGGCAAAGGCACGTGTTCAATTTGTTCCCAATTCCTGTGGTGGGCAGAGTTTAGCATTCAATGGTTATGAGTTTTGAATGAAATTAAGAAGAAACAAACGGTCCAGTGGAGATGCTGTAAGAAAGATTGTGTATTAGTTGATGTTACGTGCAGAATCAGTAAAATTAAAAATGGCACCATTCTTGTCAAATGTTTAATTTTCGTGTATTTATTGTATTTGCGGGTGTGATATGCAATAAACAAAATGTGATAAACTTTACTGTTTCTCCTTATTTGCTGCATGCATTTCTACTATAGCCTTCATGCCCATTGTTGTAAGGATTAGTACGGTCCACTGACTTTCATACCTAAACAATACCTGCAGACAAAAAGATAACATCCCATATTGATATACCAGGTAAAATGTTTTTCTAGTTGACAGCAGTGTCAGAATTTAACTTCCTTGTCTAAAGAATAACAACATGTATTCATCTGTATTCCCGAAGCCAATGAAGATCCATTATTGATGGAAAATGGCTGAGTGTAGCGTTAAACAAGAAACAATCAAATGTTTTCTTCACTCACAAAAACAACAAAACACACACACACACACACACATACACTCTATCGTACACACACGCTTGCGCGCGCGCAACATCGGTGTGCTGTGAGTATCCCTTTTATCTTGGACGATGTAAATTCGACACAATCTGTGTGGTAGAATCTAGCATCGTTCCTGATTATATGCCGTGTAATGAAAGTGGTAAACGTAAGCACTTTATGACTTTCACCCGACAAACATTTACAACCGGTGATATACTGTCAAACTCTCTTACTGATATTTGAAAACATACCTGGCGTCAGTGCTTGATTCACGCGGCCTTCCGTGTAGCTCTGCATAGAGACAAGCGAATAGAAGAAAAAAATATATTTTGAAATGTGCACTATATAATCAACCAGATTAACGCTTGAGAATTTAATTGAGTGAGTGAGTTCATATCTAAATTCACATCGGCAATTGTTCAGCCATAAACATTGTTCGTGATTAAAACAAGTAAAATATGAATAATAACTAAAGATACATTATAAAAAAACAGTCAGCGAAGGACAGTGAAGACAATTAGAATATCATAGATATAAATTTAAAAACTAGTAATTAAATCTAAAAAAAATAACTATAGATGACGAGACAATAATAGAAAAACAGGCTTTAGATTATCAACAACTGATGGCAGATCACCATGCAAAGGGCCATGGGGGATGACAGTAGATTTGCTTCCTGCATGGACCCTAGCTGGCTTTTCAGATGTTAGCAGTTGTGGACGAATCTAGCCATACATTAAAAAAAAACAAATATAGTACGATTTAAAAACCCTTGATACATATAAAAATCCCTCACTTTCCATTACAAATCCCAATATTAAATGGGAATGAGAATGCTTGATCATGTTGTTTTGTCATCACAAGGGATACAAAACGAAGGATCCTGACATATTTTCAAATATTCATGTGTGTATCTGTTGTGACCAATACGGCATAGTCTTAGCGTGACAACCCAAGAACCAATATAGGGTTTTAGTGCATTTAATGTATTGATACCTGCTTGAGTGTCCCATTTCTTTTGCATTAGATCCCGGATGGTCTGTAGTCACTGTAAGGTATCAGAAATGGTGTCACAGATTTGATGAGTGCTGCTTTAGCAGCAGACTCAGCCATTGTCTTACCCGAAATTCCAACATGGCGAGGTAACCAGCAGAAGACGCTGTCATATTGGCCGGTAGGAAAATTATTTTGTTATTTAAGAATTTCGATTAAAAGTGGATGTTCATTTGACATTTCTTTAAGTGGCATATGAAATGTTTTAATTGCTTGCAGGCAATAAAGAGAGGTTGAAAATATTACGTATTATTTATATTTAAACTGGTTTTTTTTTAATATAAGAGCAGATAGAATAGCGTTTGTTTCTGCTGTAAAGATGGAGCTGTTATTTGGCAATGTGGATCCAATAACAGTGGCACTAGCAACTGCGCCACCTTGCAGTTATAACTCATAAACTCAAGTATCGTAAGTTTTCTTAATTTACGATATTGTTGGTTATTTTCAGATTTCTTAAGTTTTGTTAATGTGAAATACACCTGTGAGTTCACCAGCTGCCAAGGAGGAGAAGAAAGTAGGCGGAAAGGAGATATGTTTTCAAGGTTGATGTTAGCGGCAGAAATGACTGGCTTAATTCGTATTCCAAGAGGTTTATTAAGTATAGACGTTTCATTATATAGATCCCTATAAAGGGGATTAAATACACAGTTGTAAGCCGTATTTGTAGTTTCGTATAGTTTCGTAATATATCACAAATAGTGTTTAATGCGGCGGTATATAAGAGAAGGCTCATCTGCTTCAACGTAAAGACTGTCAATATGGGAAGTTTGAAAAGATCCAAGACAAAGTCTTAAACCTTGGTCAAGAATCAAGGAGTTTAAGGTTCCATTAGCGCGCCCCAGTACAAATGCTGGAGCCATAATCGAGTTTTAAACGGATGAGTACATTTTGAGCAGGGTCTCTTTTACTCGAGGTAGAAACAACTAATCTTGCCAATCACGTTGCTGTCAAAAGGGACAGAAAATTCAATGATATAAATACATTCACTAGCTTTATCGAAAAGAATAAGATGAGGTTTGTTGGCAGGAATTCATCTGAGGCTGTATATCACAAAGACATTTAATAGCATCCTGTTCCACGACACCCTCGACATGTTCAGGGTCGTAGCATGGAATGGCCTTAGAGTCAAAGCCACATGCATGGCGAAGACAACAATAGAAGAAACGAGCCATGCCATTATGTCTTTTAAGATATGCTGTTTGTGCCAAGAATGGGCATCCACTGACAAGGTGTTGGACAGTCATTAAATATTTTCTTAGAAAATTTAGGCTATTGCATGTGGGAAGTGAATAGTCCTGAGCAGCAAGGAGTGCACCACTCACCCACCCTCACCTGTTTCTACACTGTCATACTGTTCACCGACTTCTCACCTGTCCCACACTGTCCACACTCACCTGTCCCTCACATCTTGAACAGTCATATGTCCCTCACCTCCACCTCCTACAGAGTCTACACATGTCCACACCACTAACACACCTCACTCTGTCTCTACACAGTCATATGTCCACACTGTCTCACTCCCACCCTCACCTGTCTCTTCTACACTGTCATATGTCCACACACCACTCACCCACCCTCTCACTCTGTCTCACGGTCTCTCACCTGTCTACACAGTCATATGTCCCACCACTCACCCATTCTCACCTGTCTCTACACAGTCATATGTGTGTCACTCACCACCCTCACCTGTGTCTACACAGTCATATGTCCACACACCACTAACTCACCCTCACCTGTGTCTACACAGTCATATGTCCACACACCACTCACCCACCCTCACCTGTCTCTACACAGTCATATGTCCATCCACCCTCTTACCCACCTCACCTCACTCTCCTGTCTCCACACTGTCACCCTCACCTGTCTACACAGTCATGTGTCTCACTCACCCACTCTCACCTGTGTCTACACAGTCATATGTCCACTCACCACTCCGTCCAATATGTCTCCACCTGTGTGTCTCTACACAGTCATATGTCCACATTGTCACTCACTCCACCCTCACCTGTCTCTACACAGTCATATGTCCATCCACCACTCACCCACCCTCACCTGTGTCTCTACACAGTCATATGTCCACACAGTCATCACCTGTCTCACCTGTCTCTACACAGTCTCCACTCACCAACACCTCACCTGTCACCTCTACACAGTCATATGTCCACACCACCACCCTCACCTGTCTCTACACAGTCATATGTCCATCCCACTCTCCCACTCTGTCTCTACACAGTCATATGTTCACACACCACTCACCCACCCTCACCTGTCTCTACACAGTCATGTGTCCACACACCACTCACCCACCCTCACCTGTCTCTACACAGTCATATGTCACACACACCACTCACACACCCTCACCTGTCTCTACACAGTCAGTCATGTGTCCACACACCACTCACCCACCCTCACCTGTCTCTACACAGTCATATGTCCACACCACTCACCCACCCTCACCTGTCTCTACACAGTCATATGTCCACACACCACTCACACCCTCACCCTGTCTCTACATACAGTCATGTGTCCATACCACACCACTTCACTCCACCTCAGCTGTCTCTACACAGTCATATGTCCACACACCACTCACCCACCCTCACCTGTCTCTACACAGTCATATGTCCACACCACTCACCCACCCTCACCTGTCTCTACACAGTCATGTGTCCACACCACTCACTCACCCACCCTCACCTGTCTCTACACAGTCATGTGTCCACACCACTCATCCACCCTCACCTGTCTCTACACCTGTCTCTACACAGTCATATGTCCACACCACTCACCCACCCTCACCTGTCTCTACACAGTCATATGTCCACACACCACTCACCCACCCTCACCTGTCTCTACACAGTCATGTGTCCACACCACTCACCCACCCTCACCTGTCTCTACACAGTCATGTGTCCATATATCACTCATCCACCCTCACCTGTCTCTACACAGTCATATGTCCACACCACTCATCCACCCTCACCTGTCTCTACACAGTCATGTGTCCATACACCACTCACCCACCCTCACCTGTCTCTACACAGTCATATGTCACACCACCACACCCACCCTCACCTGTCTCTACACAGTCATATGTCCACACACCACTCACCCACCCTCACCTGTCTCTACACAGTCATATGTCCACACCACTCCATTCCTCACTGTCTCTCACAGTCCTCCACCACACCACCTACACAGTCTCACCTGTCTCACCTACACCCTCACCTGTCTCCACAGTCATATGTCCACACCACTCACCCCACCCTCACCTGTCTCTACACAGTCATATGTCCACACCACTCACCCTCCACCCTCACCTGTCTCTACACAGTCATGTGTCCACACCACTCACCTCCCACCTGCCTACACCATATGTCCACACCACTCACCCACCCTCACCTGTCTCTACACAGTCATGTGTCCACACCACTCACCCCCCCTCACCTGTCTCTACACAGTCATATGTCCACACCACTCACCCACCCTCACCTGTCTCTACACAGTCATGTGTCCACACCACTCACCCACCCTCACCTGTCTCTACACAGTCATGTGTCCACACCACCACTCACCCACCTTCACCTGTCTCTACACAGTACATATGTCCACACCCTCCACCTCACCCACCCTCACCTGTCTCTACACAGTCATATGTCCACACCACTCACCTCTCACCTGTCCACATGTCATATGTCCACACTATCCACTCACCCACCATATGTCATGTCCTCTACACAGTCATGTGTCCATCCACTCACCCCACCTTTCACCTGTCTCCACACTGTCACTCCTCACTATGTCCACCACCACCTGTCCTACTTCTCACCTGTCTCTCTCCATGTCCACACCTCACTCACTCCACACCTCCTCACCTGTCCTACAGGTCATGTGTCCACCAGTCATGTCCCATCCACCTCGCTCACCTGTCATGTCACATGTCCATCCACAGTCATCATCTCCACACCACCACCCTCACCTGTCCACAGCTCATCCATGTCCCACCCACCTGTCTCACCTGTACACAGTCATGTGTCCACACCCACTCATCCATTCCTCACCTGTCCTCCCTCCATCCATATCTCTACCCACACAGTCATATGTCCACACCATTCCTCACCACTCCTCACCTGTCTCTACACAGTCATGTGTCCACCTACCACTTCACCACTCACCTGTCTCTACACTGTGTGTCCACCACCTACCACCTCACCCTGTTCTCATATGTCATGTGTCCA